GAAAAGAAAAGAAACGGACCAAAACACTAAAGAAACGACCTAAATCAGGGGAAAAATAAAAATAAAATAAACACAAAAAATGCAACAAAAATGGGACAAACAAACTATTATAGTAAATAAAAAAGTTATTTAAAATTAGAATAATATTTTTTTTTCTAATCACATGTATAAATGTATAAATAACTATTGTCTATCACCTCAAATTTATACATAAAATTAATAAGAACAAAAAACTAACAAGCGTTTATAAATTAAGTTCGATTACACCGATAAGTTATTTTTAGAAGGTTTATATTTAGTTATATTAATTATATTATTTTTTTAATAGTTTGTTTTATATTTATTAGTACGTGTCACAACTTAGTTATTATTCATATTATTTCTTATATTTAATATTTTTTAAAACTTTATCTTGTTCTTTCACATGTTCTTAACTGTAGATTTGTCAAAAAAGACATAATATAAAGAATAAAATTTTTTCGATCATCTGCCTCATTATATATCAAATATTTGTATATTCTATATTATATTATATTTAATTACAATTTTTTATTAATATTTTAATTAAATATTTACAATTCATAAATTCATTAATAATAATGTCGAGTCAACTTTTGTTCATAAAATTTTTAAAAGTATATTATTTTCATTGATTTGCTTATGTTGAATTGAGAAAAGTTATGTTTTTTAATTACATATAGTAAGGATATAAGATTTCTTATATTTTTATGTAGTATTTATTGAGTAATTGTGTTTACAATTTTTCTATTAAGAATATTTTAAAAACGTGAACTTTTTGGTTCCTATAAATTTTTTTTTTCAGAAATCAGTCATTATGTTATCCCAAGATTACCTATTAATTTACCAATTGAGTTACATTTCTTACATATTAAATATTATATAAATAAAATATTTCTTGTTTTATCTGTTCAATATGATACTTATATATTATATTACTAAAACTATTATAGTAAATAAAAAAGTTATTTAAAATTAGAATAATAAAGATTTTTTTTTTCTAATCTATATGTATAAATGTACAAATAACTATTGTCTATCACCTCAAATTTACACATAAAATTAATAAGAACAAAAAGACTAACAAGCGTTTAACAATTCAGTTTGATTACATCGGTAAGTTATTTTTAGAAGGTTTATATTTAGTTATATTAATTATATTATTTTTGTTTATTAGTTTGTTTTATATTTATTAGTACGTGTCACAACTTAGTTATTATTCATAGTATTTCTTATATTTAATATTGTTTTTAAAATTTTATCTTGTTCTTTCACATGTTCTTAACTGTAGATTTGTCAAAAAAGACATAATATAAAGAATAGAATTTTTTTCGATCAGCTGCCTCATTATATATCAAATATTTGTATATTCTATATTATATTATATTTAATTACAATTTTTTATTAATATTTTAATTAAATATTTACAATTCATAAATTCATTAATAATATTGTCGAGTCAACTTTTGTTCATAAAATTTTTAAAAATATATTATTTTCATTGATTTGCTTATGTTGAATTGAGAAAATTTATGTTTTTTTAATTACATATAGGGAGGATATAAGATTTCTTATATTTTTAATGTAGTATTTATTGAGTAATTGTGTTTACAATTTATTTGTTAAAATATATTAAACACTTTTTAGTTCCTATAAATTTTTTTTTTCATAAATCACTCGTTATTTTATCCCAAGATTACCTATTAATTTACCAATTGAGTTACAATTCTTACATATTATATAAATAAAATATTTCTTGTTTTATCTGTTCAATATGATATTTATATATTATATTAAGAAAACTAATATAGTAAATAAAAAAGTTATTTAAAATTAGAATAATAAAGATTTTTTTTTTTTTTTCTAATCTATATGTATAAATGCACAAATAACTATTGTCTATCACCTCAAATTTACACATAAAATTAATAAGAACAAAAAACGAACAAGCATTTAACAATTCAGTTCGATAAGTATATTTTTAGAAGGTTTATATTTTGTTATATTAATTATATTATTTTTGTTTATTAGTTTGTTTTATATTTATTAGTATGTATCACAACTTAGTTATTTTATATATTATTTCTTATATTTAATATTTTTTTAAAACTTTATCTTGTTCTTTCACATATTCTTAACTGTAGATTTGTCAGAAAAACACATAATATAAAGTATAGAATTTTTTCGATCATCTGCCTCATTATATATCAAATATTTGTATATCCTATATTATATTATATTTAATTACAATTTTTTATTAATATTTTAATTAAATATTTACAATTCATAAATTCATTAATAATATTGTCGAGTCAACTTTTGTTCATAAAATTTTTAAAAGTATATTATTTTCATTGATTTGCTTATGTTGAATTGAGAAAAGTTATATTTTTTAATTACATATAGTAAGGATATAAGATTTATTATATTTTTATGTAGTATTTATTGAGTAATTGTGTTTACAATTTTTCTATTAAAAATATTTTAAAAGCATGAACTTTTTAGTTCCTATAAATTTTTTCTTTCAGAAATCACTCATTATTTTATCACAAGATTACCTATTAATCTACCAATTGAGTTACATTTCTTACATATTAAATATTATATAATTAAAATATTTCTTGTTTTATCTGTTCAATATGATACTTATATATTATATTACTAAAACTATTATAGTAAATAAAAAAGTTATTTAAAATTAGAATAATAAAGATTTTTTTCTAATCTATATGTATAAATGTACAAATAACTATTGTCTATCACCTCAAATTTACAAATAAAATTAGTAAGAACAAAAAAGTAACAAGCGTTTAACAATTCAGTTCGATTACATCGGTAAGTTATTTTTAGAAGGTTTATATTTAGTTATATAAATTATATTATTTTTGTTTATTAGTTTATTTTATATTTATTAGTATGTGTCACAGCTTAGTTATTATTCATATTATTTCTTATATTTAATATTGTTTTTAAAATTTTATCTTGTTCTTTCACATGTTCTTAACTGTAGATTTGTCAAAAAAGACATAATATAATGAATAGAATTTTTTTTTATCAGCTGCCTCATTATATATCAAATATTTGTATATTCTATATTATATTATATTTAATTACAATTTTTTATTAATATTTTAATTAAATATTTACAATTCATAAATTCATTAATAATATTGTCGAGTCAACTTTTGTTCATAAAATTTTTAAAAATATATTATTTTAATTGATTTGCTTATGTTGATTTGAGAAAAGTTATGTTTTCTTAATTACATATAGGGAGGATATAAGATTTCTTATATTTTTAATGTAGTATTTCTTGAGTAATTGTGTTTACAATTTTTTTGTTAAAAATATATTAAACACGTGAACTATTTAGTTCCTAATTTTTTTTTTCATAAATCACTCGTTATTTTATCCCAAGATTACCTATTAATTTACCAATTGAGTTACAATTCTTACATATTATATAATTAAAATATTTCTTGTTTTATCTGTTCACATTTATCTGTACACATACTCTCCCACAAGTAGAGTATGTGTACTACCCCTTAGCTTTACTCACACTTAATTCAAATGCCTCTTCTCCTCCCCAACTTTTAACTCAAAAACGGCCTTTCTCCTCCCATTTGCCCAAAATCTTCACACATACAAGGCTAATCACAAGTTCTTATCACCCACTAAACCTACAAGCAAAATGAATTCCACTCTCAAGCTTCTTCCAATAGTCCTCCTCTTATGCCTCTCACTCTCAAACCCGGCGACGGCCCGAATTTTCGACCCGGCAAAAAAATCGCAAATGACGGGCCTTGCGGCTCGTCTCAATAAGCTGGAGGAGGCCGAGGAGCCGTCCACTTGTTTCGAGTCGTTGTTCCAACTTCAGTCATGCACGTCCGAGATTGTGCTGTTCTTCCTCAATGGAGAGACCTACCTCGGGCCGGGTTGCTGCAGGGCCGTAAGGACCATCCAGAAGGACTGCTGGCCCAATCTGATGGGCTCGCTTGGGTACACCACTGAAGAAGGCGATATTTTGGCGGGCTACTGTGATGCCGGCGAAGATGGGTCATCATCGGCTGTGCGCGCCCCTCCTCCACCGCTGGTCCACTGAGTTGGGCCATTGGGCTTTAAGTTATTATGCTTAAAACGAATAATGAGAACCTGATTGTTTTGCCACTATTTTAATTAATTTGCTCTGACTTGTTTTGTTGT